GCAGACAAAATAATGCGAGGTGAGTTTGGCATTGCACTGCGGGTCGTCAAATACCCCAGACCCATGACCTGTTTAGATGCCCCAGCCATGCAGCTAGGAGTAAGGGTGCGGACGGTGCAATGTGCCGCGAAATTTTGTCTTGGAGTAGGTTACATGCCGTTCTGACAATCTGTGAGGTAGCGTACGTTTCACTGACCGTAATCGAAACATATTCCTCGCATGATCGAACAGGTAGGACAAGTCGAAAGGTAAAAATCAGGCCAAAAACGCCTGAAGCCTAACTATATCGTGGTTAAGAGATAACTGATGACTCTCATACGACATCGTCTTTCGTGGGGATTAACATAGCAAGCGATCTAACATTAAACGGAAAGTTCGATCAAAGCGCTTTCGATAGTTCGGCCTACGTTTCTGTGATCAATGTTTGTGAAATTTGCATGATATGCTTCAGCGGAAATAAAGATCACGTTCAGCACGGTATTAATCATGAATAATATACATAACGAATAACCACCTCAGTAGTGGTGCGCCTCAGTAATTCTTATTCCAAGGTTTTCCACAACGACTGTAATACTGCGCAGAATGCAGACACTACTCAAATATCCATACATCATTAAACGGCCAGAGTTTACCAGTCAGAATGTTTTCGCTCAATCAAAATGTATTCGATTCTCTGACGTTAATAGAGCTTAAGCATATCGCAAGGGCTCCAGACCGCTTGAAACAGACAATGTGGCCTTCGGCGCTGCAGCAGAATTATAATTTATTAATTAATTCATTCATACATTCATTCCTTCGCTCATTCATAGTTTCATCATATATTCATTCATATATTCATTCATTCATTCGCTGATTCATTCATTAACTCATTAACCGTTGTTTCTCTTAAATAAGGAATATAATCGATTTTGCTTCGGTGCCTCAAGCCGAAAATTGGGTAGCACTTGGGAAATATAAGAACCGCATATTGTTTCGGTGTGGTCACACAGAACGTTCAGATACGAAAAGATGTTGTATTACGCATGTGCCTTACGAATGCAATTTGCATTGAACCACCTGACAGCTGATTAACTAATGGCATACGGCATACGGTATAACCCATAAACAGATTAACAATAACAGACGGGTCTCGTTTCTGAATCAGCTACGCCAGGCAAAGGTAAGATCAGCTACTAGCACTATACAGTTAGCTGTTGGCGCACAATCTCCCGCAGATGCTGTGATTAAATTCCAAAGTTCGGATAAGATGGGTCACCGATCGTTTGTAGATGATGGTGACAACAATTTGTAAGACACGCAAGGTCCAAAAGTCAGTTACTGCTTGAAGTGCAGACAGGGCAGCATCGTACTCTCCGTTCTGCATAAGCACAAGCAAAAATCTGAGATGACTCTCTTGCGGCATCCCCACACATGTCCGAAGCACAGCAACTGTGATATGTCGACCATCGATGGTGTTAAAACTGTCCCCTGTGGAAATTTTTCCAATCCCGTCACATTATCAATCGTCGGTCAGTTTCGATTACCGCTTATTCTTTCTGTTGGCGGATGCAGACGGCGTATGCAGTCGCCGATGATCCTCGTCCTATGCCAGTACTTAAGCCTCGGCAGAAGATAACCTGAGTGTGGAGCAGAGAGTGCCGAGACATTAGCCTCAAGGTCATTTTTGACCAGACTGAGCAAGTAGTGGCTGTTGCGCCTTCCTTTCTGAAAGCATTCAGAAGTTCTGTCCGAACCATACAGCTGTAAGTTCTTGATCTGAAGAATCAGTGACTGTACACCAAGGCTATATCGAAAGTCTGTCCTCTAAACCATGTTGAGATGCGTGGGGTCAGTGACTCGTCTAAGAAAGCTCATTTGAGCAGCTCGTACCCGGGTTCGAAGTTTTTCAGTGATGGTCACGATTCATGACCGTAGGTAAGTATGGGGATAAAGATCGACTTGAATATCAAGGGCTTAGTTTTCAGACTGAGCTCTGCTTTCGTGACAACGGGTCGGGCTAATTCACGCAGAACGCCACTGGCTACTCCAATTCGCCAGTCGATCTCTTCTTCCAATTTTCCATCATTAATAAATACACTTCCGAGGTACTTGAACTTTTCCACCTGCTTCACTGCCTCTCCGTTAATCTGAAGAGAGCAACGGGCAGGAGAACGAGAAAGCACTAGGCTTTTCGGTATTAGATGCGTTCACACTCATGCCGGTCACGTCGCACTCGGCTGCGACCTTTCTAAGGACCACTGAAGATCAGTTTCAGAAGATGCTAATAAAACAAGGTCGTCTGCAACTAGCAACCTTTTCGACTTCACATCTTCTACACTGATACCCTCATCGCCTTGGCAACTCCTGACTATTCTATCCATGTACAACACAAACAGGATAGGGGACAGGACGCAGCCTTGGCGGAGACCAGTACCACCGTTTAAAGGTTTCGACTTAATGCCATGTACTCTGATGCAGCACTTGCTTCTAAGATGTGGTGATTGGATAGCGCGTAGCAACTGGCCATCGATCCCATGTGTTGGCAGGCATTCCCATAGTTTGTTGCCCAGAATCTGGTCATAGGCTTTCTCCAGATCCACAAACACATGCAACCGGAGAGGGAACTCTCATGATTTCTCTAGAATCTAGTATAGGGCGAATAATTACTCAGAGGTGCTTCGACTAAACCTAAAGCTACAGTGCTCTTCTTGTATCCTACAGTCAGTTATTCCATGGTACCTCCTTCCCAAAGGCTTTGCGTAGACTTTACCTGGCAGGCTGAACAATGTGATACCATGATAATTGGAGTACAACCTATCGTCTGCATTTTTCCACAGCGGTATTACAACCTCTGTTCTCCAGTCCACTGGGTCTTCCCGGTAGGCACTAGCCACAAAACTCCTTGTTCGCCTAAAGCTTTAAATATTTCAGGGCTGAATTCATCGATTCATTATTTGGCTGTTCGTATCGCACATATGCAAAGTAAGTGGTAGACGGAGTCGAAGAAAGATGCATTGAACTGAGTTAGTGATACAGTATTACCCCACTGATTCCGTGTATGAAAATCTTCACGGCTTTCAAGTTTGAACACATTTTCATGGCATCGTTCGTCGTTGTTGTTTCGATTCGGGGAAAACACCCGTCGCCTGTAATTTTACAAGCATAAACGGATTGGCTTCCCACATAGCTCAGCTGACAGGTAATTTTCTGTGAAGAAGACGGACGGCTTAATGCAAGCAAGTTCACCTACATGGTTTCATCTTCGTCATTGGAATAAAGACAGATCATGCCGCGAAAGACTCCAAAGGTTTCAAACAGACTTATGGAAGCAAGTGAATGTTGTGTGTAGACGAATATAACTTATTACTGTACGGCGAATATTTCGAATGCATCTGAGAGACTCGACGTTTCGCGAAGGTCACTGTGAGGTATGAGGAAGTACGAAGTGTGTGCCAAGGTCGTTTACGCTCTTGTCAAAGCGACAGTGCTGAGGCTATGAAGTTCAGATGACGGCAAACGGATGAAGGCAAACGATTCTAGGCACGCTTCACTGTTTTCGCCATGGAAGTGCCCTAAGCACTGCAGGCCTGCCTGAAATTAGTCTTTGCGAGGACCGGTGTTAGCCCGAGCAACGGCGTCCTCCATGACCGAGTTCCGGCAAGAGAACTCAATGAGCTAGTTTTGTTGTCTTTGTTCACTGTTCTGTCAAGCCACGTGATTCGTCGCTCCTGCAGCACCGATGTTACGTCTTTTCGAACTTAGTCACAGATAGCACATCTGATTCGTTGCTCGATGATGCCGGTGCATGCTTGAAATGCTGCACAGGGACACCCTTGTCGGAGGAGTTCAGGCGGCACTGGTCGGCTCTCAGTTTGATATGGTGAGGTAAGTGAGGTACGGTGTGAAACGGCAAATGGCTGAACGTGCTGACGCACAACAAAACAAGGTTACGCAGTTAACCTTCAAAGTTGTTAGTCATCGAAACCACGGAAAAGCGATGTTTCACTTTTGACGCAAAATCAGCCAGAAACACAACCATCAATCAACAGAGAAACAACATATTTTAGACGGTGATCGACGGACACGACTTTTGGCCGTTGTTGTCTAGTTCCATGCCACGACCCTGATTTGAAACGTGGCTTCGCCGGGC